GATTTGACTGCGAATACATGTTCTTTTTCAGAGTATACATCACCTTCAATTGACAATTCAACGATTCATTTTCCCCTGAAACTCCAAAGTCACTGCCTCTCTGTGTTATTCTAGTGAGTAGTCACCAATAAACCTTCTCCTATGGGTAACAAATGGGCATTTAAGTTTTCACATCTCCATGATCTCATTCGCAACACGTTATACACCAAAAAGTAGCATTATTTCCCCTGATTCTTCATGTTGTTTTGCGAATGCCTTCACATTTGTTAATGTTGCAGTCAATTACTACACAATCTGTTTCTGTCTGACCTTGTTCTTATGTATGATCTTTTCCTTGTGTAGATACTTTCAAATTGAATAGGAGTTAAGAATTAACATTAATTACTGTTGAGAATTAATATGTTGCATTCAGGGTTCATACATCCTTCTTTGCTTCATATATTTTTTCTTTCTTAGAAACTGGATAAATTCTTTTAAATCAGGCAATACACATAGCATTGGAAAGACTATACTAAAATTATTTCTTTGATTTCATGTAGCTGGTTGATTTTTTTGTAGGCTCTTTGTTTCATTTCATATTTTCATTTCTATGAAGTGCATCTCATTTACACTTATTTCTTTCTCGGTTGGTGTAGACTTCAATTCTAAATCTATCAGTGGTGCTTCTTGCTGTTGAAAGTGACTGCAAAACTACTCTTTTGAAGGCTCTGTGTTGATTTGTTTTGTAAGGTATGTTTTTTTTTCTAAGCCTTTCTTCTTTACTAATATGCTTTTGAAAATATTTCATGTATTTGTCCAAATTTTTTTGGTCATTTCTTTTGCTATGTTACTTAATCTGGTCTTATCGGCCATTTCTTAAGAGGTACCGGTGGTTGCGATCTTTTAGTGTGTTCCATCGATTTTTGAGTAATGGTAACTACCACTGTCCAAAATTTAATGTGTTCAATACATGTAATAAAAAATTGCAGAACTGTAAGAAAATTTAAATGCTACAAACAGAAAAGTATAAATACTTCACCTTTTTTCTTTAGTCTTTACATACTCTTCTATAAATATAATGGGATCAGATTATAGGACTTATCTAACCTTGTTTGTAATTTTATAAATTCGTTGTGAACCTACTTTGTATATTTAGTTCCTAATCATAAATGTAGAGACTGTAGACCAGATCATCTTGATGAGTTTTCCAACTTTTCAAGAATTTCAAATGAACAATGAATTTTTGAGCTTTAATTTTACATAAATAACATATGTTGTCAATATCTTGGTCACTGTTTTGGAGTTTAGTTGCAAGCAAATCTTGGTATATTTCTCATGTAATCACTATTTGATTCCCTCATTTGCTTTAAAATCATCTGCAAAGTTTGTTCTGCCATACATTCAAGAAAAAGAGTAACCATAATTAGATTTACATTATAGTTCCTAACGTTTTTTAAGAAGTAAGAGGTTGTATTAATAGTTATCATGGAGATGCAAGATAGCCACAAAGAAAATAGTTGATAACTTCAGGATTGCCAAAAAAATAATTGAGATCTGGGAGTTAAAACTTATAGCTAAACTCAAAGTTGTTTAACTAATAGGAGGGAGCTAATAATGTCTATTGGGGAAATAAAATCATTTACACAAGATTTTTATAAATAACTAAACATATTATTGATGTTTAGAATGTACATTCAAAAGTTATTATTTTGAAATATTTGGTCTTTTACTATTTATATGTTGAATTTTCTTGAATTGCTAGATTTTTGTCATGTAATTTGACTATTCAAATTTGTGTAACCTTTTTTTTTACCACCTTTTGAGTACCTGGTTGTTATTCTAATGTATTGTTATATCTATTTTACATGCATGAAGATTATGGCACCTAATAAGCAATGGATGGAACTTATTACCGATAGACTTGCTAATGCTTATATAGATGGGGTAGAGAATTTCTTGGATTATGCTTTTACAAAATTAGGAGAACCAATGTCGATCCGTTGTCCATGTATTAAATGTGGTAATGCAACTTCTAAAACACGTGTTGTAGTTAGGTCACATTTAATAGTACATGGGATAATACCAAGTTATACTTTTTGGTATCACCATGGGGAGATGTTAGGTGAAGCACAATCAGATTTTGAATTTATAGATGATAATGACATTGAAGAGGATGATGGTGAGGATGAAATACATGGGTTGCTAAGAGATTTGTACCCCGATTTTGATGGAGATAATATGAATAATAGTACTGGTGATGATCTTCAGGAGGAGGAACCAAATGCTGAAGCAAAAAGATTTTATAGGTTATTGAAAGATCTTGATCTACCATTATATGAAAGTGCAAAAGTTTCTAAACTTTCTACTTTGATTAAATTGCTTCACCTTAAAAGTATTGGTCATTGGAGTAATGAGTCATTTACGATGCTATTAAAGTTTTTGAAAGATGATTTATTGCTTGATGGAACAAATTTGCCGGATTCATATTATGAGGCAAAGAAGGTAATTCGAGATCTTGGGCTTTCTTGTAAGAAGATTGATGCATGTAAGAATGATTGCATGTTGTATTGGAAGGATGATAATTGTCTTCAATCGTGCAAAGTTTGTGGTGCATCTAGATGGAAGGATGCTAAACATAGTGGGGAGACAAAATTGAAAAAAAGGAAAAAAGATACCATGCAAGATTTTACGTTATTTTCCTCTAAAGCCAAGACTTCAAAGATTATTTATGTGCTCAAAGACATCTCCTTTGATGTCATGGCATCATGACAAAAGAGTTGATGAAGGAATAATGAGGCATCCAGCTGATTCAATGGCATGGAAAAAATTTGATGAACTCCACCCATCTTTTGCAGCTGAACCTCGTAATGTACGACTTGGACTTGCTAGTGATGGTTTCCAACCATTTGGACTGTCGAGAACTCCCTACAGCATTTGGCCTGTGGTACTTGTTCCTTATAATTTGCCCCCTTGGCTTTGCATGAAGCAAGAGAATTTTATTTTGTCAATGCTTATACCTGGTCCTAGTGGTCCTGGTGATGCAATTGATGTCTATCTACAACCTTTAATAGATGAGTTGAATGAATTATGGGAAACTGGAGTAGAGACATTCGATGCATCAACTAGAAAGAATTTTAAGTTACATGCATCTTTGTTGTGGACCATTAATGACTTTCCAGCATATGCCAATTGTCTGGATGGAGTACAAAAGGAAAACTTGCTTGCCCATGTTGCAATAAAAAAAACTTGCTCTACAAGGCTAAAAAATGGCCAAAAAGAGTGTTATATGGGCCACAGGCGCTATCTTCCTCTTAATCACAAATGGAGAAATGATAAAGTGTCATTTGATAACACTGTTGAGCATAGGCTACCACCAGAAATGTTGTCTGGTGATATACTTGATCAAGTTGCTGATTTAGATGGGTTGCCATTAACAAAGGATCCACGGAAAAAGATTAAAATATCACATAAAAAAAGGGGTGATAACTGGAATAAGAAGAGTATATTCTTTGATCTTCCATATTGGAAAACCTTATTGTTGCGACATAATCTTGATGTGATGCACATTGAGAAGAATGTATGTGACAATATTTTGGGGACAATTTTAGATATCAAAGGGAAAACAAAAGACACATTGAGTACTCGGTTGGATTTACAAGAAATGAATATACGGAAAGAATTGCATCCAATACAAAATGGAGATGAATATGAGTTGCCGGTAGCATCTTACACATTATCTGTTGAAGAAAAGCAAAAAAATTTCAATTTTTTTGAAGAATTTAAAGGTCCCAGATGGATTTTCCTCAAATATTTCTCATTGTGTCAACCTTAAGGATAAAAAAAATTCGGGATTAAAAAGCCATGATTGTCATATAATTCTACAACATTTACTCCCACTTGCCATGCGTGGTATGCCTTTGCAAATCTGTGTCTGAACCACTTATTGAGTTTGTCTATTTTTTTCAAAGTTCTTGGAGCAAAATGTTTGAGCATAGAGGAGTTGGAACAAATAGAAGCCAAATACCAAAAACACTATGCAAGTTAAAAAGGTGTTCCCTCCTGCTTTTTTTGATGTCATGGTGCACTTGTCTATTCATTTACCTAATGAAGCTAGGATTGCTGGACCATTCAATATCGATGGATGTATCCAATAGAGAGATACCTACACTTTTTGAAGTGTTTTATTGGTAATATGGCTCACCCTGAAGGTTCTATTGTAGAGGGATATTAGCAGTTGAATGTATGACATTATGTTCAAGTATTTGAATACAATAAAGACAAAATTTAATTGTCCGGAGAGAAATTATGATGGTGGGTAATTGAATCTGATGGTGGTTTAACCATATTTTGTGAGCCTGGAAAAGTTTAAAGGGGTAGTTCACCAGACAAACTTGATTCACATGATTTGGAGGAGGCACATTTTATATTTTGAAGAACTGTGATGAAATTCAACCATTTCTCGAGTAAGTATTGATTAAATCTAATAATTTACTTCTATCTTGTCCATATTTCAACTTAAAATAACATGTAAACTTCAATTCATTGTAGAGAATTTTCACAAATTCATAGTGAGGCCTCTCAACAAAGTTCAGATGTGGAGTGGAATAGACAATTCATTAGTTGGTTACAAAAGAAGGTGAGTAAAATTACTTAATTTTCTTAAATCAAGTATGTAAATATTGTTTTCTAAAAGGGTATTTGATGTTGTTAGGTTGCAGAGTTGTACAAACATGATGATAGTAAGAGAATGGCAGATTTGCTATCGTTATCACGTGGTCCTCTACCATATGTGACAAGATTCAAAGGCCATATTGTTAATGGATATAGGTTTCATGTGCAAGAGTATGATAAATATTTGAAAACTCAAAATTGTGGGGTAGTTGTAGTAGGTGAACCGTGAAGAGCAAAAACCTATGAATTACTATAGCGAGTTAACCGAGGTTCTTGAATTACAATTTGTTGGGGAGAGAAGAGTGAATTTTATTCCAATGTACATGGTTCGATGTGTATGATCAGAAAAAGGGAGTTAAAATGGATGAATATGGCTTTGTAAGTGTTAATCGTCGGCGATGTTTGAAAATAAATGAGCCATTTGTATTAGCCAGCCAAGCATCACAAGTATTTTATGTTATCGATCATTCGAATAAAGGTTGGCATATAGTGCAAAATGTTCAACCTCGTGATTCTTTTGATATATTGGAAAAAAGGATGATGACTTAGAAAGTTAGATAACTCTACACAAATGAAAAGAAAAAGAACTCATTAAGGGTTTGCAGCTTTATGATGCTTGCTTTTACTTTATTAATTATTATGGTAATGATTCTTATAGTATTTTCTGTGAAAATTTGTTTAATAATCTTGGTCTTTAATGTTACCTTGATTTTACTAAAGATTTAATGGTTTATGCGAGGAACCTGTGTTACATGTACATGTGTCTTTTTCTGAATGCGTTTTCAGTTAATATTTCATCTTATGAAAAACTTCCTTACCTATTTGATCTTTTGATTATTATTATTATTATTTGTATTAGGTTGACATGAATCCCTCAAAAACTCTGAAGTATGAAATGGGACAAGCTTCAAAAATTCCCAAGCATGGACTCATTCAGCCTGGTGCCTTAGCAAAGGGACTAGGTCAAAGTTTGAAAGTTATGAGCACTACAAGAGTTAATGCTGAACAAAGGACTTCGATTTCCAAAAATAGAAGTTACAATGCCACAACTTCTAAGTTGAATAAGCTAGCAGACAATAGTTTCCATGTGCATCCTTGTTTTGATGAAAAGGAAGACAATGCTCCCTTCCATCAAGGAACTGAAATGAATCAATACACTTTGACTAGTGGTGCAACGGCTCGAGGACAAACCTTAGGGATTAATGTTGAAAAATCGACTCTGATTGACAAAAATAGAAGTAATACAACAACTTCTAGTCGAAATAAGTCAGCAAAGACTAGTATCCCTGTGCCTCCTAATTTTTATCCAATGGAAGACGATGACACCCTCTTTCAAGAATCAAAAGTTACTCGAGATGCTCAAAGAAGTGATAATTTGAAAAAGAGTTAGTCCAGTTAATATATTTGATCAAGAAATTTTGCTTAGCTTTCTTTACTTAATCTTTTTTGTATTCTTTCTGTTATTAATAATGGGCATGAACTTCTTATTTTGGTTGACTTTCATCAAAATTTGCAGGTGCATTTGAATTTGATAAGTCAAAAAAAGTAATTGGAGTGCCTCGATCTGCTCAAAAAAGTGATACTAGTATGTTATTTTATTTGTGCAACTTTTTTTTGTTAGTTGAATTGAATTGTTAGTTTTTATAACTTGCACTTAAATTTGCAGGTCCGTTTGAATCTAGAAAAGCAAAAAAAGTGTTTGAAGTGGCTCAAGGTGCTAAGGAAACTGAAACTAGTATGTATTTTCTTTTATGTAATATTTTCATGTTGTTACTTGTAAAGCAGTCAAAATATTATCTTGCCTTGCTTCCATCTGCAATAGATATGTTAGCATATGATAGTTCCATAAGCAGTGTTCCTGCAATAAACATATTGTAAGCTTAACTTTTTTACACATTGGATGAAATCTGAAGTTTGGTAAGCCCCTCATAATCTTCAAGACCGTAGTTAAAGACTCCATAACCAATATAAATAGCAGGGGAGACATGGGGTCCCCTTGTCGTATTCCTCGTTTTTCCTCGAATAACCATTTTCTACCCCATTCACCATAACAGAATACATGGGAGGTGTTACATATCATAATCAACTTCACAAAGCCATCTGGAAACCCATAACCAAGTAAAGCTTCCTCGAAAATTTCTAACTCAGCATGTCATATGCTTTTTGGAGATCAATCTTCATCAAACATCTGAGACTGGTTTTCCTATTGTAATGCCTTCATAAGTCATGATATATTAAGACATTGTGGACCATAGATCTCCCTTGAACAAAAGTTGATTGATTCTCTGCTACCAAGTAACTTACACATATTTTAGTTTTTGACAAATCAGTTTGACTTTATATATCACAATACAACACGAGATAGGTCTGCACTGACTAGCATTTTCAGGAACAAGGACATTCGAGATAAGGGCAATATTAATAACATTTATCCGTCTTAGTAACTGACCATTCCGGAAGAAATCCAACAGTTCTTTAGCAACATCTTTCCCATGATATCCCAAGCTTCTCTGTAGAAATCACTACCATAGTCAGGACTAGGACTGCTTTTCATATCAATACTACACACAACTTTCCTAACATCCTTTGCATTAAGAAGTTTCAATATTTCCAGTTGTTTTTCAATAGCTTGCTTCAATTGTCTCTGTTTAATAACTGAGTAAAAATACCTTGTGTTTGCATCTCCAAGCCTGATCCAGTTTGCCTGACTTCTCTGTAGTAGGAACATCTCTGCTAAGTTAGAAGCTTGTTTGAATTATACCAGTTTTTTGTTGCGACTATTGTCAGCATTATTATCCTGAGTGTTATTCAATTTATTCTTCTTTTTCATTGACTACTACTTCCTTGTGATTCTATGTTGTGCATTTTTCCTTTGAGATTATGTCACTATTGTTATGGGCTATTTCACCTACACCACTGCTTTTATTTGCTTTATTTAATTTCCTTTGTATCCTTCTTGTTAGTAATGGGAATGAACTTCTTATTTCAATTGACTTGCATCAAAATTTACAGGTCTGTTTGAATTTGACAAGGCTAAAAAAGTGACTGAAGTGTCTCGCAAGATCAAAGAAGTGATACTACTATTTTATTTTATTTGTGTAACTTTTTTTAGTAAGCTTGAATTGATTTCTTGGGCATTTTGACTTACAGTTAGTTTTGCAGGTTTGTTTGAATCTAGAAAAGCAAAAAAGTGGTTGAAGTGGTACAAGATGCTGAGGGAATTGAAACTAGTATGTATTGTCTTCTACGTATTTTCTAATAGTTTCTGCATTGTTACCTATAAAGCAGCTAAAACATTATCTTGCCTCGCTTCCATAGGCCCTGAGAATCTAAGAGTAACAAGACTTCACTGTGAAAAGACCAAATTGTTTCCCCTTCCATTTCAAGCTATCCTCACTGTTAATAAGATCTTTAAAAGAAGTTAGGAGACCAACAAATTCTATAGAACTCTCCTTATCCCAGTCATTTAGATTCAAGTATGTTCCAGTTGTCTCATTCTTCACTTTGTGCTACAGTGGGATTGAACTTCTTGTTTGGTTTTCCTTACTATAGATTTTGCAGGTCCATGTGAAACAGAAAGGGCAAAGAATGTGAGGGGAACAAATATTTGTAAGAATGTTTTGCGATTGAGACCTGGAGAAAAATTAAAAGTCACTTTCTATCAAAATCGAGTCGTCGGGCAGAATCACACCTCATTTACGAGACACTTGGGCTTGATAGTTCGTGATCGTAATATGTGTCCACTCCGGGTACACTCATGGATGGACATTGAAGAGCATAAGCTTGAGCACATGTGGGCAGCTGTTACTGTAAGGATTACAACACATCTATCTCTTTCTTTTTACTGATAACTGTCAAGAATCCCTTTTCAAAAAGTATTGGATGTTTTAGTTTGAAACATGACTCTTGATTTCACATTCCTTCTCCTTTAATAACAAAGTATAGTTACTCAGTTTCAATGGATAGATAAAAATTCTCACATTTCGTCTTTTCTCGTTAGCCTATTTGATAGTTAAATCTCTTGCCACTACCTGCTAATAAGAGGCTTTTGAAAAGTTAACTTTATTCTTCCACTGTAATTCCTTTGGATGTTAATATTATTAGTTTAGTGTGGCTATAGTTAATATGATTCTGCAGTTGGTAAAAACTATCAATTATTGTTTTTCAATTTTATGTTATAATTTCAATGTGTAACCTTCATCTTAACAAAATTTGGACATTTCTCAGTCATAGCAGTGTATTGATATGTACTTCGTTAAGTATTGAGCTGACACTAACTGTTACTTGAGGACCTAAATGTTTGATGGAGGATACACCTATTCATCGAAAGCCTCTACTAAGTATATACATTTCTTGGCCTTCTTGGCGGTTTTCACTATTGATAATCTTTCTTTGGTAATAAATTGTATATGTTGTACTTCTGTCTTTAATGAATCTTTAATTTTTGTTATGTAATATGGAGTAAATCACAATTCCATAACTGCCCTGCCACAATCTACTTCTTGATCTTGGTCCAGTGTCATTGGTTGATCCATTATAGACTTTCCTTGACTTTGCCTGAGCTACTATACCCAGCCACCTGTAACTTTCCTCCACAACTCTTTTTTCCATTGACATGACATAAATAGATGAGTGGGGTCTTTTAAATAAGGTTGATCAACAAATCTTATTCTTTCTCACTGTATCTCCATAAATCTCTTTTGCTAGTTGAATACACATTGGATATACACTTCTAGATCATATTATAGTATGAAGTAGGTCTATATTGACTAACATTGGCCAATGTTGAGACCTTAGGGGTAGTTAAAATTATGGTAGCATTTACTTATTTCAGGCAACTCGCTTGTGTCACTACTTTACTCTTAACGCTATTTCAAACACTATACAATAGTGATGTGAGTAAGCTATAGGTTTTAAACAGACAACTTGTGGTTGTTATTTATTTGAAATTTTGATTTATGTTTAAAATTTCTAGGTTACTACCTATTAGGTGATCTATACTTTGATGCCTTGTTTTCCCTTATTCAAGAGATTTTGATGGTATTTTTTCTATTTTAGGAGAAGTTTGACAGTGATGACATGAATGATCAAAGAGATAATGTTTTGCAACATATGAGAAAGCTTTGGAATAACTGGAGAGGATCATTGCACAAGAATGTGAAATCTAAATCATTGCACGAGGTTCTTAAAGATGTGCCAATGGGAGTAGACAAGAGTGATTGGGAATGGTTGGTCAAGGAACATTTTTTATCTCAGAAATTTAAGGTAAGACTTCATATAGTTATTACAAATATCATTTTATTTCTAGTCACATATGATTAGTTTTTTGGAATAATTTATACCATGTACAAATTGAGTCTTGATTTCGATAAAAATTTGATGTCTTCTATCCACAAGATCTACCAAAGAAAATTGCAATGGTGTTTTTTTGTGCTTCTGTTCTCTTTTACCCTCTTCCCACTGAGCTTAAAAGTACACATTAAATATAGAATCATTAAACAGGATTGTGATAATTTCAGTTGTTGTGTTGTTAATGCAGGACGCAAGTACAAGAAACTCAGTCAATAGGTCTAAGTTGTGTATGCCTCATCGTACGGGTAGCAGGCCTATTAGAGAGATTGTTTACGAAATGGTAAATAAATTGTGCAACCCTATAAAGAAACCTCTCCTATTTCTATAAAATATCTTATTTTTTAATCGTGAAGGGAGGCAAAGATGGTAATCCACCAAACATGGCAACTATTTTCTTTGAGACACGTAAGAAGGGAAATGAGCTTGTCGAACCTGAAACCGTTGAAAAATATGTATGTTTATAACAATTTTAATTTCATTTAACATCCTTACTCTTACTTAGTGCATTGCATTATTTTAAATATTCTTATGTTTTATAGGCTGAAATTCACGAGCTTGTACAATCTGAACCATCTCTTACTAATATTGAGGTAGTGGAAAGGTGCTTTGGACCTCAATGCAAAAGTCACGTAGTTGGATTTGGTGGTGGAATAACAACTAAGGAGTTAAAAGGCGGTACCACCTCAAAGGCTGCATTGTGGGAAGAGCTGAAAACAACTCGAAAAGAAAAGGAATCACTACAAAAACGCATGGATATTCTAGAGAGTAAATATGAACACCTTGAAAATATAGTGATCCGTCAGTCTTCATCAGTTCCATCAATTCCATCAGGTTAGTAAACATACTATTAGTTATTATTACATGATGTGTATTGTGTGTGAATGAAGTGATGTTGCTTCTCGTTGATAAGGGCTTTGTTATTGCAGTTGTGCTATGAGTTACCTGTTTTCCTTTAGTGCATTGCGTTATCTTAAATATTCTGTATATTCTGGCATTCTCACTCTAGCATTTCTATATATAACTAAAATCAATATCACTTTAGTTATAATATCCACAAAGCTAAAAGATTGATTTTATGTTCATTTCTGTATATACCAATGAGATTGTTATAACATCTTCAAATGTAAAAGTAGGTATCAATATGGTTATTGTTTGTATATGTTGTTGGTAGAAAATCAAGATCTCTCCTCTGATTAGGTCCTTGTATGACTTTGTCCTCTATAATATCATTGTCAATATAATTTGCCCTTTATTATTGTAGTATTAGTAGTTAATCTCAAACATCACACACTTCTACATTACCCTTTCTCTGTTGCCCTGCAACTTTAAATATATTTGATCATGTTTGTGTCATTCTCCACTGTGGTAATTAGTTGTTTAAGTTTTTCTAACTTCCTGCTTGTCATCCAGCTGCAAGCTTGTTTCATCTGATCCACTTGCATTCTCCATTTCAACAACTTATCTATGTTTTCTTTCCTTCAACTTTCAGTACTAGTACTAGGACTAGGATTTCTGGTCTTCTTTATTTGATGTATATTTACATTCTCTTTGTTGAAGCACTTTAATGTGTGTTGTGTTCATGTCTGTCCACTTTAATCTCTCTCTTTCCTTCCATTAATCTGGAAAGAGGCCCAGGTTTTGTGAAAGAGGTGGGGTATGAGGAAGCATTCACTTGAATAAATATTTAAATGAGGAAGCACCAACCACCCTCTGTATGAGATGTTAATGTGAAAGTAATACAACTCTTGTGGCTGCCAGTGGAGATCCTCAATGTAGAAGGTTGGGTAGAGAAATTATCTAGAATTCATGAACTAGAACTGTAAATATGTTTCTAGTTGTATACATCAGAAAATAGATCAGGAACTATTCAAGAGAATTAATCCTTAAGTTCAAACTTTTTTCCGTTACTAATTAATTTACTTCAAATTGTTGTTTTGACAGATGAAGATTTTGAAGATTAAAGAACAAGATCATGTGAAAGATAATGTGGAGCGTGCAACAAAGAATATTATATTTTTATTGTTGGTGCAAAGACGTTTTTGTAGTTATTCTTAATGTCATTTTCTTAATTTCTAGGATTTTATAGATGTCGAACACATGTTTTATTATGTTGAACGTGTATGCTTTTTTTTTAGATATTGTGTCGAACATATAAGTTTTTAGTAATTAAATCAATGTGTTCTTTAATTTATTATTAAAATATAATTTTATATCAAATTTTCAATTGGATGTGAAAAGAATTTATATGAACTGATCATATTAGTTCTTTTTAGAAATGATGGAAAAGATAACAACTACAAATTAAATGTAATAATTTAAATCGAAATTTGTGACAGGAAATTTGATTGTTAAAAAGTATTGTAATCAACGACAGGAATTCTGGCCGCTAAAATTAGTTATAACGCCCCTAATTTGTTGTTTTACTTGAAGGTTCTAACGACTAAATGACCATCAATGAAGGGGAATTTGGTCGTTGTAAGCACGTGTAACGACCGATTAATTGGTGTCGTTAAATAATATTTAACGACCGGACATGCAATCCAGTCGTTAACCTTTAACGACGGAGCTTTTAACGACCGGTGATGACCAATTTTTGACCAGTCGTTATAGACCTTTAATGATCGGATTTGGACTTATAGCGACGGTATTTCCTTTCGCTAAAGGTCATTTTTCTTGTAGTGAAGAGCATTGCAGAGTTTGTTGCTA